TTCCAGAAGACCTGTCAAAGGAAAACCAGAGCTGGACAGGAAAGTGGTAAAATCAGATTTATTCAGAAACTCTTCCATGGTGGGAACAAACCTCAGTATAGAAGTGGGCTTAATTCCAAATACAGCACGGGCAGGTAGAAATGTATAGCCAAGTCGTGCAGTGGAGGGTGGTGGATGGAAAATTACTAAAAGAAAATACCAGGGCTAAGGGAGAGTTTCAGCTGAATTTACTATTAGTCTGTCCATCTCACAGGAATGCCTAAAGGGAGTTGACCCACAAGAAAACCGATGTAAAACCCTGGGCACAGCACTCAGCTCAGTGCGGCCAGGAGCAGATGGGGGCCTTCTTGTCCGTCTCTCCCCTTAGTTTCAAAACAACAAAAACATTTAAAATGTTAGTGTCAATTTTTCTACTGTCTGACATATTAAAGATTTTTTTCATGGAAAAGAAATGCCATAAGTAAATGGTGTATGCCTCTCACCAGTGTCGACTTATCTGGCAATTATTTTTATCATTTTTATTGTGTATTATTTCTCATCAGACTAAAAGAAAAATTAGCAAGGCAGTCCTCAAAGATTTCTCATTCCTCTTTTGATAAATAACATGATATAAATCAGCTTTTACTGCATAATATGAACTGTTTCCTATAATAAATATGCACAATAATTCCATCACTTTTATTAGCTCTGAGGGTTTTAAAAAAAAATATTTCAGTTGTTTGCACAGAGACATCCATGTGAAATATATTTTTTAATCAGAAGTAGAAATCAGAGATATAAACTGTGTCTCTGAGATCTAACTATCTGTATTAACGTTAAAAAATGTAAGCTCATGTTTGCTTACGCTTCTAGCTTTGTAATCAAGAGAACTGTTAGGAGAATTTTGGAAGACGTACTGTAGAAGCAAGCATTAGAATTAATGCAAAACTGATTCACTAATTAGTCAAACCTGGATTATTCAATGATCTATACCTTTCAATGTGTATCATATAAATGACTGATTTGATTTGGCCTAGGTTGATATTCCTACTTTAAAAATGAAGGTTCCAATGATTGAAAAGATTAGTGGCTTGTCTGATGCTACCAAGTCAGGGAAGAACCATGGCTACAACATTGCACTCCTTATGCCTGGGGAAGTTCTGATTGCTTGTGTCTGCTACGCAGTGTGTGGCCTAGCACCCTGTGGGGCACTCTGGAAGGAGGAAAAGAAGGAATGCCTGGCCTTCCTTTCACCAAAAAGAGTGAACTGTTTTCTTGGAGGAAAATAGAATGTATGCTTATGAGATAACTGTATTCTTTCTTATACTCTAGTTAAATACTGAACTGGGGAGCACAGAATATGTATGTATACGACAGTCTCAGGAAAAAAAAAGTGCTAATTGTAGGGGGCTAATGAGAAATTCTAAAGGGTTTGGATATGAGAGAAGGCTTTTCCAAAAGTCATTAGGCTATCCCAGAAAAACGTGAAAAGAAAAAATCAAGAAACTTGCTGGTTAATCTTGATACCCATCTTCCTCTATCAGGTAATAAACAACAGGAGTAGAGAAGTAAAAATTAATCATGATTCAAAAATAGTATTTGACACAGTGGATCACTCTTTTCTCCTTAGAATACTTCTTGCTTTCACTTGAATGTTTACTTTGAACCCTCTGTCTACTCCTTCTTAGTCTTTTTTTTCCCTTTGGGTTCTCTTTATCTCTCCAACTTCTAAATTTGGGTGGCCCAGGTCTCGGTCCTCAGGCTTCTTTGTTTGTTTGTTTTCTAACTGTACTCACTTATTGGGTGATCTCATTCAATTTCATGACTTTATTTGGTATTCATATGTTGAAGTTCCCCAAATTTATTTCCCTTAATGAGACCTTTTCCTTAAACAAGAACAAAGAGTCCAGATAAGAAAGATGACTGACTGAGAAGTCAGAATAGGATTTCTGTAATAGCTATATGGAACCTGAGCTGATTAAAATGATAGAATAGGTTCTTAGAGAAGAAGAGTAGATATATGAGGGATGATTAAAAATGCCCGTATACTGTTCAACAGGCCAAGAAGTGAAACAGTTAAGTTTAAATGAACAATTTCTGTTGGGCAGCATAGGGAAAAAAGCTTAGAAAATTTGACTGGTATCATTTTATAGATAAAAATTAAACTCAAAAGATGAAATTTCATTTTACATATAGCTGCTTCCTCCTATATCCTGCATATTTAACAGAGCCACTTGTATTACTACTAGCAGGTCTTATATTAGAGTCCATTCAAACCATCTTAAGAAGTAGTTAAAACTAATAAATACATTATTATTGAAACACACATTTTTTTTTTGAGCGCTCTGGGTTAACAGTGAGAGTGCTTGTGAAGAGGGAGCATTTTCTAACTTTCAATATTTCCCTTGGTATCTGGATAAGAATACTAGCAAATCAGCTCTTAGTTTGGAGAGAAAAATAAAGTTAACAAAACATGACTTACTACAGTTTTGCACAGGAGAGCTTAAAGAGTGGAATCTCACCATTCAGTAAAGCTGACATTAGTGAGGCAATTATTCAATGACATATTATTAAAAATAAATAGATTTGGGATGCATTTGTATTTATTTTACAAATGAATTTATGGTTAAACAAAAAAGTCAACCTGTGGAATAGTACAGTAAATGAAAAAGCTCTTCAACTAGAAATGGGGTCTTGCTTGGTTTCACTATGGACTTGGTATATGAGCTTCGACACACCATGCAATCTATACATTCCTTATTGTTCTCATTTGTAAAATGTAAATGCTACCTGCCATACTTCATTGAATTGTCTGTAGATTAGAGAATGAATATGAAAATGCTCTGATATATATAAAATACAAGGCAAATGGAAGTGAAACTTGGTTACTCTTATTATTATAAATAATATCATACATACGTCGACTAGAACAGATTGGAAAATAGCAATGGGATTGTGAGTTGAGCCTAGTTAGTTTGCAATGACTGATATAGTTGTTTTTTTTTTTAAATTATATTATTATTATACTTAAGTGTAGGTAACATGTGCTGACGTTGGGCAGGTTTGTTTACATATGTATACGTGTGCCATGTTGCTGTGGCTGCATCCCATTCAATTCCCATTTACATCAGGTATAACTCCAACTGAACTCCCCTCCCCCCTCCTCTCCCATTATAGCCCCGGGTGTTGTGCATGTTCCCCTTTCCCAAGCACAGTGATTTCTATTGTTTCAGTATTCCCACCTATTGCAGTGAGAACGTGGGTGGTTGGTTTTCTGTTCTTGTATAGGTTTGCTAAGAATGATGGTCGCTGGCATTCCATTGTCCTACAAAGGGAACAAACTCATCCTTTTTTTATGGCTTCATAGGGTATTCATGGTGTATAGGTGCCACATTTCTTTAAATCCCAATCTGTCACTGATGGACATTTTGGGTTATTCCAAGTCTTTTGTATTGAAATTTGCTGCGTAACATACGTGTGCATTGTGCTTATAGGGAGCATAATTTATAATCTTTTTGGGTATATACCACGTAAGGGATGCTGGGTTCATATGGTACAATCTCGTCTAGGATCTGAGGAATCCGCCTACTGTTTTCCATAATGGTTTGAAACTAGTTTAAATCCACCAACAGTGTAAAAGTGTTCTATTCTTCCCACATCCCTCTCCAGCACCTGTGGTTTCTGATTTGAATGATCGCCATTGTCTAACTGGTGTGAGATATGTTAGCTTCATCGTGTTTGATTTGATTTCCTCTTGGACTGGGCAGTATTTGATGAGCCATTTTTGTTCATGTGGTCTGTTGGCGGTCTGAATGTCTTCTTGGAGAAATGTACTGTTCATATTCTTTGGCCACTTTTATGGGTTGTTTTTTTCTTGTTAAATTTGTTTGAGTTCTTGTAGGGTTTCTGATATTAGGCCCTTTGTTTCGCATGAGTAGATTGGGCAAAATTTTCTTCCCATTTCGTGTAGGTTGGCAATGTTCATCTGATTAGTAATTCTTGCTGTGAGAAGGCTCTTTTTAGTTTAATTACTCCTATTTATCAATGTTTGGCTTTGCTGCCGTTGTTTGATTGTTTTTAGACATGAAGTCTTTGCCATGCTATTGTCGTGAATGGTACTAACCTAGGTTTTCACGTAGGATTTTTATGTATTTAGGTTACATTTAAGTCCTCTAATCCATTCTGAATTAATTTATTTCAATATAAGAGTAAGGAAGGTCATTTCAAGCTTTCTACTTATGGCTAGGGGCAAGGTTCCAGGCACTATTAAATAGGATTTCCATTTTGTTCTCTCAGGTTTGTCAAGATTCAGGATTGGCTGTAGGGATGTGTGGTATATTTCTGAGGACTCTGTTCTGTTTCCCATTGGATTCTAATGTCTCTGTTTGGTACAGGTACCATGTCTTGGTTACTGTTAGCTGTGTATAGTTGCAATCAGGTAGCGGTGGATGCCCTCCAGCTTTGTCGTTTTGGAACTTAGATTGTCTGGGATGGGGCTCTTTTTGGGTTGCATATGACTTTAAGCAGTTTTTTCCAATTCTGGTTTAGAAAAACTCAATTGGTTAGCCTTGGATGGAGGAGCGGATGATCTTCATAAATTACCTGGGCAGTATGGCCATTTATCACTATTAATCTTCCTATCCATGAGCATGGTATGTTCTTTCATTTGTTGTGTCTCTTTTTAACTTCACTGCAGCAAGTGGTTGTTTGTAGTTCTCCTTGAAGAGTACGTTACATCCCTTAAAGTTAGTTTCTAGGTATTTTTATTCTCCTTTGAAGCAATTTGTGAATGGTAAGGTTCATTCCTGATTTGGCTCTCTGTTTTGTCTGTTACTGGTGTATAAGAATGCTTGTGATTTTGCCATTAATTTTGTATCCTGAGGACTTGCTGAAGTTCTTACAGGCTTTAAGGGAAGATTTTGGGATTGCGGTGAGACAATGGGGTTTTCTAAATATACAATCATGTCATCTGCAAAGAGGGACAATTTGATTTCTTCTTTTCCTAACTGAATACCCTTGATTTCTTTCTCTTGCCTAATTGCCCCGATATTGTAAATAGCAAGAAGTCAATTAAATCGACTAAATTATAGTTCAGTTATTTCCCCCGCGTACTAAGCTCTGATGCCTTTAAGCATTTATGTCATGAGTACCACGCACACTTGGTCCAAGTGTGCATTACATCAGCTGCAAATCAAAGGGCACCCAAGTAAAGCTGAATTAAGGAGAGGAAAACAGTGGGGGAGATAAATTCATTGAATTAATAAACAAAAGTTGCAAGACATAGATGAGATTGTTGGAACCAAGACATAGACATATATAGTTAGAACCAAGGTTAAATATATATCAATGAGATGTATTTTTTCTCTATCCATTGCTACTTTCTATGTTATGGCTCCATCTTCGGATCAGTTTTTCCATCACGATGTCATGAAAACTACAACAGATCCAAAGTCATATCCTTCCAAGTTCATGGCCAGTGAAAAAGAACACATTTTTCTTCTCCAGCAGTCTACCAAAATCCTTACAATGTTTTATTAGCTATGACTGGGTCACATTCCAATCTTTCGACAAATTACTGTGGCCAGTAGAAGGCAGTAGTCTGACTGGTCATGCTGGAGTCTGATAAGTGCCCCTGAAATCATAGCTGGAATAAATAGTACTATAATGGCAGAGGCCAAGCACAGAAGAAAGATTGAACCATCGAGGAAAATGTTGTTAAGAAAAGAAACAGGAATAGATCAAAAGAGCAGAAATCAGCAAATGTTTACCACAAAAACAGATTAAAACAATAAGAATTGAACTTGTCAATAAAATGTATTCATATTTTCTAAGTCCAGTTTAGCTTTTCAAAATGAAGATTTAACAATCTTAGAAAAACAGACTTCACCAAAATACAATGAATTGTGTAAAGGAAGTGGAAAAATAATGAAACAAGTCAGTGGGATACCAATAGATAGCTCTTAACAAGCTACTGCAATGAAGTAAATATTTGGTTACTTGCAAAAGTTTTATTATGAAAGCATAATATAATTTCATTAACATACAACAAAAACAGTTACTAAGGTTATTGACAAAAGAAGGTGAGCTACCCAGTCGCCTATAGAATAGTCTGGGACACAAACTCATTTTCCAAATATTGTAACTAAATGACAAAGCAAATAATTGAAGACATATCTAATTAGGTCAAGGCAACACTTTAGGATTTGTCTGGGGTTGGTATAGTCAGCTGACAAACATATCGAGTAAAAATTATGTAATTAAAAAAAGAAGAAAATTGGATTATCTTATATGACTATATTAATTCAAACATGCATATTTAATAATTTTGGGATCCTACAGTCCTGTTGCTTCCCAAGTTTATTTAATATAGATTTTAAGTTTATTGTCCCATTAGATTGCTTATTCTACTAACAACAAAAGACATGTAGGGAGGAAACCCTTAGGCCAGGAAAGGGTGGAGCATAATTCCCCTAGATTTGTGTCTGATGGGCAGCCAAGAATGGAATCACCCAGGAAGCTTGTTGATGGTGTTGTCTCTGTTCTTGCTATCACTGGGAAGATTGGGCCAGACCAGAGGGGCAGGTAGAAGAGAGTCAACAATGTCTCAGCTTCTTTGAGCGTAAGTTTGCTTATCTGTAAAATGAGAACACATCATTAAACTTTTCTTCCTGTAGGCACATTATCAAAATAAAAAGAATTTAAAAACTTTAAGTTAGAGATTTAAAAAAGTAAGGGTCGGTTTCAGTGGTTTACGCCTGTAATTCCAGCACCTTGAGAAGCCGAGGCGGGCAGAACACCTGAGGTCAGAAGTGGGAGACCAGCCTGGCAACATGGTGAAACCCCATCTCTACTAAAAATACAAAACTTAGCCGGGTATGGTGGTAGAGGCCAGAAATCTCAGCTCCTGGGTAGGCTGCTTGAACCTGGGAGGCGGAGCTTGCAGTGAGCAGAGATGGCGCCACTGCATTCCAGCTTAGAGCGAGACTCCGTCTCAAAAAAAATAAAAATAAATGAAAGTAAATTAAGGTATTTTGGTGTAAGTAGGTCTTCTCATCCAATGTTTTTTCTGTACTAGAGGGCCTTACATCCTTAAAATAGGCAGGAGGAACATGTGTTTAGTGGCAAAGATGTATGTGCTTATTGATCCATCTGCTCAGTTGGGTGTTATTTGAATAGGAAATACAAGAGGAAAGATTAGCTATATCTCAGGTTGTCTAAATTGAGGGTTTTCAAATTGTAGGAAAATTATAAATGTGTGGGAGTGGGGCTAAGAAATATGAAATTGAGGATGTGTAAATTAGTTTGTAAAGAATTTTTGTGAAAGAATTAAAGTTAATCTGTTACATCACATAAACAAAATTAAGGACAGAAACTATATGATCATCTTAAAAGACACAGAAAAAACATTTGATAAGATTCAGCATCCCTTCATGACAAAAACTCTCAATAAACTAGGAATAGAAGGGATATACTTCAAAGTAATAAAGGTCATGTATTATAAACTCACATAGCCATTATCATATTGAATGGGAAAAGTTGAAAGCATTCCCTCTAAAAACTGGAACAAGACAAGGATGCCTACTTTCCCTACTCCTATTCAACAAACTACTGGAAGTCCTAGTCAGAGCAATTGGGCAAGATAACTAAAGAAAAAACATCCAGATTGGAAAAGAGGAAGTCAAATTATCTCTGCTGATGATGTGATCTTAAATCTAGGAAACCCTAAAGACTCCATCAACAAATTCTTAAGTTTGATAAACGAATTCAGTGAAATTTCAGGATAAAAAATTAATGTACAAAACTCACTAGCCTTTCTACACCCCAATAGTGATATTGCTGAGAACAAAACTAAAAGACAATCCCATTTACAGTATCTCTAAAAAAATACTTAGGAATAAATTTAACCAAGAGGTGAAAGACCTTTACAAGGAAAACTGCAAAACATGAATGAATAAATAGTAGATGACACAAACAAATAAAGATACTTCACATGCTCATGGACCAGAAGAATTAATATTGTTAAAGTGACCATACTGCTCAAAGCAATCTATAGATTCAATGCAAAGGAAGAAAAGAGTTTAGCCTAAATATCGGCATTGGTGGTCCAACCTAGATATAACCTTAGACCAATGATTCAAAGTGTAGCCTACGGACCACGGTGATAATCAAGACCTGTTTAAATAATCTACAATGTCAACACTCTTTTTATAATACAACTAAGAGCATTTTTACATTTTCACTCTGTTGACATTTGTACTGATGTTACAGAAATTATGGTAGATAAAATTGCTGGTGCACTGGAATGAATAAACATAGTGGCACCCAATTCTACTAGCAGGCATTTTATCATTGATCACAACACACGGTAAAGATATACCAGTTTCACTTAAGAATGTCTTTGATTCACACTGACAAAGTGACAAAACTCAAAGAATGTCTTTGAATAATTCTTAGAAATTATTAATTTTATTAAATCTCTATCCTTGACTACATAGCTCTATGATATTCTGTATGAAGAAATGGTAAATATACATAAGCCAGTTCTGCCCCATACTGATGTTACGTGGCTGTCCACAGGAAAAGCACTTGGGCAATTGAGTGGCATGAAAAATTAGCCACTTTGTTTAGAGTACTGTTTTTTATTTATAATGACCAACTGACAAACTATGACTTTTCAGACTTGGGTATTTGACAGATGTTGCCTCAGAAAGGAATGAATTAGCTTGTTACTTGAAGAATAAATGACAATATCATCAAACTTTCAAATAGTAATTAGAACTTTAGAAATTTACATCTACTACATGGAGCTGGACAGGTTTCCAATACTTAAAAATTTTTCTGATGAAATTGGTGGTGATATTAGTGAATCTCATTTTTGATATTACATAATAAAACACATCAACATTAAAACTTTCACTTGAGAGTAAACCATGATTTCAAATGACGAATGCAGGATTTTTCAAAATAATCCATGGAAGAAGATTTGTTCAAATGGCAAGATTGACCAATGAATTCTAAGTGTAACAAAATGTGGAGCATTTATTAACTTGGTTCTGGATTTCCACATTGCAATCGAACTTTTGAAAACGATCATCTTGTGTATGATACTTGGCGTAGTATCAAAAGAAAATATCCAAAACTACCCGGAGAAGTTATTAAAATACTTTTCCCTCTCCCAACTAAGTATCTGTGTGATCTCAGATTTTCTTCATATATTTTAACTAAACAATATATTAGCAAATATTTCATTAAGAAGCAGATATAAGAATCTAGCTGTTTTGTATTAAACTAGATGCATTTGGAAAAATATAAAACTGACACTTCTCAACAAATATTTTTGATTGCAAATTATAATTACTTTTTCAAAAGTTATTTATGTTAACATATAAAAGGCATATTAATGTTATTTTACATTAATTAATAAATTATCAAATTTTCAAGTTAAAAATTTTCAAGTTAAAATTTGATAATTTAAATTTTAAACTTTTATTAATATTCATATTAATTTTAAATTGTTAAAGTTTACTAAATTAAAATAAATTCATTTAAAATAAATGAATACATATTTTTAATGTATCAGTTTTAATTTTTAATAAGTAAATAATATTCACATGTAACCAAGATAAGCAAAAGATCCACTGAATTCTCAATAATTTTTAAGAGTGGAATCTTGAGATCTAAAATGTTTGAAAACTCTTGCTTTAAACCATTAGGATTCATGTTTAATCATTCTAAAAGTTTTTACTGAGTATTCAGATGATAATGATAAAAAAAAGTTAAGGAAAGACATATGTTTGTCTTCTATAAGCCGATTTAATTTGGGAGACAAGATACACTCACATTCATTAAACAAAAGTGCATGGTATGAAAGAACTTACCATAAATGGGCAACTGCATTGACTCTGAACCTGCTAACTCGTGTTTGGAAAACATAGCTTGAGCTTCAGATTTTTATAGGTGCTTCTTTAGTACTCACAAATATTTCTTTCTGCATTGAGTGTTTATTATATTCTTTATGGCAGATTGCATAATGGAGTTTCTGTAAGGAAGCTCTTCATCCTTCCTGGAAGCATGCTGATGTTATTTTTTTTTCCTGGAGATTTCATTTGCTCTTTGAAAGACTCCACTTTTCCTGTCTATAAATTTTGTCACCTCTTGAGTATTTCTGAAATTCTACGATGGTCTAATACGATAATCAGAGCTGTAGAAATTCTGAACAGGATGAGGATAAAACAACATAGGATCACGGGGAAGTTCTCTGTAGCAAAAAGACTGGATCTGAAGAAACGAGTTTTGATAAATGGGAAGAAAGGTGATGGGTTTTTCTGGTGTGACACGAAGTCACAGCATTGAGATTTATTATGTAGGGTCTGTGGGTGGAAATGAGGCACACTATGTGACTGGAGCAAAGAGTTTGCATAAAAGACAAGTTAAAAATACCACTGTGATAATAGGATGAAACCAGAGATGATTGTCAGTCCCGAGCATTAAGATTATCTAATTGCCAAACTGTGCTCCAAACTGTACTATGTGAACTAACAGAAAGGCAAAGCCATTTAAGTAAGTATACATTTGTATTTCAGTATCTTTGTGTTTTAATAGTTGCATATATATTTTAATAAGTGAATTTATTTTAATTTCTATCAAAAACAAATACACCAAGTAGGCATAATGGTAGTGATATAAAATTATTCTATAAATATATTCACTTCATGAATAACAATGTGTTGTGTCAGTTTTTAAATGCCTTGAGTAAATAAGAGTACACACAGAAAGTAGAAGATAGATAACAAAGTGACAGCTATCTAGAATAAATTCACACCCTTTGTGTACAGGAAAGTTAAAACTCACACTAATATGAATCAATCTACTACCAAACCAAAAGTCTTAATTTGGAAAACATAATTGTCAATATATTGAGCCTCCTTGACAGTTATATCTCTAGGACCATTTTCCAGTCACTGATTTTTATTTTCTTTTTTTCTTTTCTCACGTGCCAAAAATTTGAGCCATTCACCTCGTTTTTTCACCCTTTTAATCTGCTATGAATTAATGTTCTATTCATCTAGTTCTGAAGTTTTTTACTATCATCTATAGTATATTCAATTTAAGAAATTATAATATACCATAATATAGTATAGTATATTCAATTTAAGACAGGTATTTTTAACTGCCTACTCAAGGATAAACAGTGTACAGATTCACGTTAGCTGCATTGCTTTGGGCAAGTTACCCTGTCATCAGTATTCTCTGATGAGTTTAGTGACTCCTTCTAACTGTAAAATGTATGAAAGATGCAAAGTGTGCTAGGCACGATACCCTGTGTGCTCCCTGCCATCTCATTTAGTTCACCATCCCCACAATTCTGTAACTGTAGATATACACAGACAATACTATTTTATAAGTGAGATTGCTGACACACAAAGGGGATGAGTTCCACATATGCTCAAATACAAAACTATCCCTCATAAACAGAATAACCTCATGATTGAGTCCTTTAGTACTGCTCAAAATTTGGGCTACCCCCAGTTACTTTATTTTATACAATAAAATAGCATAAGATGGAGACATCCTAATTTGAAACATTCTCAGCCATAGCTGGAGTTGGATGATTCTAGAAATAGAATTTAAAT